ACACTTGGATTCCAAGATTTACCATCCATTTCACTAGTACAGAATTGCAGATAGGCAACCATTGTAAAAGACAATAGGCGACCATTGTACAATGGTTGCCTATGAGAGGCTCGCGCAAAGTCATGGACTTTACGCGACCATTTTAAAATGGTTGCGCATTGTTGGTAATACGCGACCATTCTTGACCAAGAACGGTCGCGTATTGTATTTAATTTTTTTTAATTCTAAGGTAATACGCGACCATTTTAAGCTAGGAATGGTCGCGTTTTCCTTTTTTCAGTTTTTTTATTAGTTAGTCATTCGCGACCGTTTTAAGCTAGGAACGGTCGCGGATGGCTTGTTTTTATTTATTTATTTATTTATTTTAATTAAAATCTCTAATTTTTTATAATTATGTACCTGTTACACTTTAAATTCATATCAACAATATAATATCCACAATACAATCTATATATCAACACACTTTAAAACAATACTATCATCAAAACACAATAGCATCATAATTCTCAAGATTATTAGATGTGAGACGACAATCCAGAATTCAACTACCAAAATAAACAAATGTTAAATATAAGACAACTCCAGTAACTTACATTTTGATAATAATAATAATAATAATTTCAAACTTAAATTATCAACATCAACTAAACTTCAAGAATTGCTTTAACCATTCATCAATAAAATACTTACACCATACATCTCTAACTTCATCAATCTCTTGTTGAGTGTTAATTCTACACTACAATTGATAATAATAATAATAATTTCAAACTTAAATTATCATCATCAACTAAACTTCAAGAATTGCTCTAAACCATTCATCAATAAAATACTTACACTATACATCTCTAACTTCATCAATCTCTTGTTGAGTGTAGGGCAAACCCCATCCTTGTCTCTCTAAATGCTACAAAATTGAAGAAAAAAAATTAAGTAATAAATAAACTAGTATCGAATTTCGCCATATAAGAGCTCCACATAAGAAGAAAGAATCTTTTACAAGATAAAATACAATTCAGTTGGTATAGGCTTCACTATGAAGAAAGAACTTTGAAAATAGCTTATAGACTAACATTTCAATCTCCTTGCCAATTGCAAACACCGGTAAATTAAAGCAAGCTCACGAAGGAAAATCAAAAACACATTAATTCATAACATTCACAATAACACATAAAATTCAAAATATAAACACAATAACATTCACAAATATAAAATTTCGAAATATATACAATAATAATTTAAAAAATTCAAAATATTCAAAATATAACAACAAATTCGAAATAAAATTATAAATTTTAAAAAATATATAAGAAAAATTCGAAATATAAAATAAAAATATATATTACGTACCGTAGCGTCCGGCGATGCGACGTCCGACGACCAGGTGCGGCGAGGCGACGTCCATTGAAGCTTTTGCGGCGATTCCAAATTTATTAACAATGCTCAGGAAGTAGAGCCCAATCAAAAAATTTGATATCTGTCAAACAACACAATATCGAATGAGTTTGAAACCAAAAGTGGCATTTACCAATCAAGCTTTACTTTTCAGTATTCTACCAAAACCAACTAACTAGTTAATCAATGTCTGAGTTGAGATATTTTGTGAAAGATAAATGTTAACACAATGATGTCAAATTTGGCTTTTTTCCTTCCTGTATGTTTGCACCTACATAGAATATTTTGCCGCAAAAGTAACGGAATCCCAAAACAATGCTCAGAATCTTCATGTGCATGTAAATTTTAGCATTAAACTATGTCTCATTAAGAATGACAATGAGACAATCTGTTTGTGGGTTAATTAAATCCTCTAGGTGATTGGGTCCTGGGCTAAAGGGGAGAAAGCAAACGAAGCTGCAAATTTAAATTTACACAACAGTACAATATATTCAATTGACTTACACAAAATGAGCAAAACCCATGTTTCAAAAATCAATCACAGGATGATGTAGTATGTATGAAGAACTAAACAAGGAGGCAAAAACAAAATTACCACGGGAAAGACATGTGTGGGGGCGGTGGAAATGTCTTCATGGGCAGCGGTCATGTTCACCCTTCGGCTAACAATCTGACCCTGCATTATCTCGAAGTGAAGGTTGCTCCTTTCTGCAAAGCTGTGTGGGAATTATAGTCGGGATTTTTCTTGGAACAACTGGGCTTAAAAGAAGGATTGTTATGAGAGGATGATGATGGCGATGGTGATCTCTGTATTACATCACAGACTTTTCAAAAATCAGTGCTTGAATTATGATCCCCTGGGGGTGGGGGTGTGGATGTTACAAAAGGCAGTATCAGGCCAAACCTGCTAATACGTATAAACATGAAAACTAAACTCACCAGAGACTACTCTTGCGGTTAAGGTACTCGCACCATCTTTTGTAGTTTTTAAATAGCTTCTTCATGACTTCTGTAAGTGCGAGATCATCCAACTAATAACAGTGATTCAATTTTAAGTCATTAGATGGCATAAAGCCTAGATAATCCCAGCAAATATGTAGCTTGAATTTCCCATTAAGCCTAGATAATCCCAGCAACAAGCACTAAAACCTGAAAACCAAACATAGATTGAAGCCAATCTAGAATATCTTCATCTACATTCTTCTTATGGCCCTTCGGCCATGTTAGACCCCTTGTATTACGTAGAGCAGCCACAGATGGTTGGATCTATCAATGTAAACAATATTAGAACATGGAGGAAACTAGAATCAACAAAAAATCAAGACTAAAAGAATATAATCTAGAATAATGTTGGAAACACCTGAACGGAGACGGTCGAATCTTCCCATATGTTATATTAATTCCAAAAAGTGGAATAATTACCATCCCATATATAATCACCCCCACCCCATCACTATAGAAAATCAAGATTTACCAAGAAAGTTTAAAAGACAGTAAAGTAAACTACAGAGAAATTGGTTCTAATCTATTTTATTTAGTGCTGTATATGGTGGGAATGGCAGTTGTTGAACCAACCTTTTCTGAGAGCTTGGCTGGCAAAAACAAAAGGGAGACAGCAGAGCCCAAGAGGAAGCCAAGATCAGTAATCAGCTTCCCCAGATTGCTTTGCTCCAGCAGATCCTTAAAGTCCAGGCCGCCCGCAAAATCCAGATTCCGGTGCCTAAGGATTGATCCATCCAGTTCTAGTGGTGGCTCGAGCCCGGAGAAATCAAGCCTTGTTCAAATGCCGAGTGCATCTCCTCATTTCATGAAGGGCACTGCCTGCTATTATGCAAAGAAGGAAAGTTTTCAGGTAAGTTTGAGCTTATGACTCTCTTTTTTTTTTTTTTTGGTGATAAGGTTGATGACAATGTATTGAGTCTAACCTGATTGTTTAATTCCAAGATGTCATGATCAATGATAATATATATAAATGGTTTCATATATAGTGTTTAAGTGTACATTTTTCTTTATTTATTTTGTAACTAGTTCCAAGTATAGATATGATGCAAATAACATTCACTGGGAAAAACATAAAACCTCATTAAACCAGGAAGATAAGATCAAAGTTGCAGAAAGATTTAAGAGCATTGGACATACAAGTACTGCAAATTCTTCAGCAAGCCAAGTTGAGGAACTAATTGACCTGATAAAGCAGCATTTCCCAGATCACTGTAAAAGTATTAAATAAAAATAAGGACTCCAGAAAAATCACAATTTCCAAAGTTAATGCACTCACTCATTAGTAAAACCGAACCATGAATACATAAAATTGCAGGCCAGGGGAGCAATTCTTACACTCTTATAACACTGTTATCGTTGTTGCAAGTAACATGAAACAACATTTTACCTCTTGAGCTGTATAGCAGGATGAAGAAATCTTGTGTTGTGGCAATTTGCTTGTCGTAAAATTCTGGTTTTTATGTCGTGTCAGGGAGGGATTGAATGCGATGATGTGAAGTCTGTTGATTCTTCAATATCGGTGAAGCATGACAGCAAAAGCAAGAACTTGAAAGGAGTCAGAAAGGTGATTAAAAGTTTTGGAAGCACAAGATCATTCAGGAGGGGGAGATCAAGGATCATGAAGCCAACTGCAAATCACTCACCTTGTTCAGTAGAGACATCGGAGGATTCCTCGCTTAATCAGATGAAGGCGGCGAGCTGCTCTGAAAGGAGGAAGGGCCATTTCCTCCTGGCAAGTCCTCGAGGTTCTGAATCTAGTTTCGATAGCAGTGATCAGAGTTCTTAGTCAAACTTGGCTGCTTCTTCTAGTGTGAAATCTTTTCAGACTTTGATGAGGAGTTCTAGCTTGAGATCTTTGAGGGTTAGTTTCAAATCCAGGAGGCGTTCTGCGAAGTTTGTTCCCGAGGCCAAAACTGTGGATACAGCAACATGGTCTTCTACCATTAAGAACTCCAAGTTCCCTGAAAAGGTCGAGCTGCTACCGGGCAAGCTGAATCGGAAAGAATTTCAGTGTATCGAGGTTGAAGACGTTTGTGGGTTAAGTTCTGACTGGAGAGTGGTTTACGAGATAAGGAAAATAAAGTTACTATTCTATGCTTCAGTTGAACAACCCTAGACTGCAAGAAAGCGAAAAGTCCTCCTTCATGTCTGCAAAAGGTAGATAATTGAAGGAATTTCAAGTTGAGTCCAATGTTCCATTAAGAGCATGTCTAGGAAAGCTAGGAAAAAAATGTGACCTGATATCTTTTGGGCTGAACCAACATTGTGGGAAAATAGCATATCCCTTTTCTTACTATCTCATCCAAAAAGCACAGCAGAAATGAAAGACCAAGGGCTTCCTATTCTAATGTATTAATATATTGTATTAATTATTGTTTTTGGTGTGACAAGAAATCATTTGCTCACCTTGAATCCAAACTTATTCTTCAAAATCTCTGTTAGAAAATGGTAGTTTGTATGCATTTTCTTTCCATTCCAACTGGAGTAGGAAGCCATAACAGTATAAACTCCTTGTGCCAAGCAATCTAGATATGGTGCTATATGAACATTGATCAAATCATCATACGATGTTGTAGTATTTCCATTATTTATGCCTTTCAAAGTCCCTCCATCACCTACAAAATGCTTTGCACATGCAGCAACATTGTTTCTGGATAATCAAATAAGTAAACTATAGTAAACATTTCTTAATGGATAAAAACATGTGGCATTAATAAGAAAAAATCAGGAGTGAATACTGTGATACTGAATAGATCCAAAATAAAGCTATATATAACTACCAGCATTTGGGACTCTATAAAAGAACTAGGACCAAGCTAACTAAGATTGTCAGTTTAGGAAGTTTAGATAAGAGGTGTATAAATAGTGTAAAAGATATATTACTTTTACTACCTTCCACCAACATAAGGATGTCTTTCTGGTGGTTGGCCTTGCAAACCCGTCACAAGACAGCTCAATTTTCTAATGACTTTAGTGTCTTCACTGAAACTCTCATAGCATCTTCCCCATCTAGGGTCTTTACTGACCTGTTATCATATATATATAAAGAAATTTATTACATAGTATTATCTTGTAGTACATATGCGGGAAAGAGAAATTGAACCTAATACCTCTTAAAAAGTCTAAGCCCAATCTCATTGCACAGCAGAAACCTCTGAGATTAAAGGCTGAGCCGCGTAGCTGTGGACGGCGGTGGCTAGGGCGAAGGCGGTGGCGGTGGCTGATAGGGGTAGCGTCGCAGGGGAGCTAGAGGAGGGAACGACGAAGAAGATCGGAAGGGTAGGCGGTGGAGACGGCGTTGGCGGCTGCAGATCGACGGCACGCTGGTCCGAAACGACGAAGCTGTGGTGGGGCGTCGGCTGTGGCGGTGTGCGACGACAGAATAGATGGTGGTGGTGTGCGGTGAGATGATCGAAGCAAACGGTGGATCGAAGCTGAGGGATGGAGATTTTAGACGTTGGGTGTTGAAGCGGTGAGACGATTTTGATCTGGTCTAGGCGGGTGGTAGATTTAGGGTTAATATTAGGCAACCATTTGTATTAGGAATGGTTGTCTATTATAAACAAGTTCTATTTTAAGGCAACCATTTCTATTATAAACGGTTGCCTATTATAAATCAATTTTTTAAAAAATAAATAAAAAATATAATGGGCAACCATTACAGCTAACAATGGTGGCGGATTATTGATCACTTATTTACAAAATTGCCACCGCGAATTTTTGGGTTAAGATTAGGCAACCATTTTTCCAACAATGGTGGCCTATGGTCAATCTTCTATGTTCAATTTTGTACTAGTGTTTCTTAGTGAAATTTTCTTCTCTCTTTTATCTCTTTATCTTGCAATGTTTGTGCTTTACATTTGTGTTTTTGTGTTCTTTACGGTATTGAATCATGAGTAGTTCTTTATGGACTTGAGTTAGGGTTGTATTATCTATCTTGATGCTTGATTTGTGATTATTGCAAAAAAGGGGAAGAACTCCAACCTAGGGTTCATGTGTTTGTGAAGGTTTTGTATTTATATCTTGTTAATGTTTGATGTACACACTAATTAGCTTGTTTTTGGAGGATTCCTTGCCTCAACGAGAGTTGGGTGATGAATCCAAGCCACCCATTGCATAGACCCGATTTCTTCCTACGAAAATAGGGGAAATTGGGGGCTTTAGATGCTTTATGTGCTTGATGGACTTGGAATTGATTCACCACGAAAGTGGGGCAATTTCTTGTTCTAATCCTTGTTTATTAATCATGAAAATGGTTCATAGACTAAGATATCTATGTGCATTCCCGCTTGATTCCTTGCTTACTTGTTCTCCCTAATCCCTAGGTTGTTAAAGCATCTAGATGATAATGCTCCCTAGCTTGAGTCCTATTTCTTTATCTTAGTGTATATGTGTTAGCCTTATCATTTCCTTAAACTTGTAGATTGCTTAGCTTCTTGTTGATTGCCTAGTGCTAGTGCATAGTTTCTTGTGATTGCGTATTACGTGCCATAACCCCTAATCTCCTGAGGACGACATAACACACCCGAGCTCACATCTTATTTTTGCTACAATCAGTTCTTATTTGGTCCTGTGAAGCTTCAGCAAACCAAACTAAATCGTCAACGAAAAATAAATGAGAAAGGGTAGGCCCATACCTGTTCATTTTAATGCCTTTCCATTTATTCTTACCTACCAGATCTTTAATAGTGTGACTCAAACGATCCATACAAAGCACAAAGAGATAAGGGGAGATAGCATCTCCCTGCCTAATTCCCCTACTCGGGGTGATCCAATCCAGTTGAGTGTCATTCCAAAGAACTCCAAGCCTTGCCGTCTCAACACAATGCATGATATTTCCAATCCACTTCTCACTCATACCTACCTTTTTAAGCATGTCCCTAATAAAGGCCCAGTCTAGTCTGTCATAAGCCTTCTCCAGATTAATCTTCAGAACCATATAGCCTTTTGGACCTTGCTTCATACGCATTGAGTGGAGGACCTCCTGATAGACAATAATATTGTCTACTATTTGTCTCCCATGGACAAAGCTGCTCTGTTCCAACCACACCACCTCTTTCAAAATGGGTTTTAGACGATTGGTCATAGTCTTTGTGATTATTTTATAAACTACATTACAAAGACTGATGGGGCGGAATTGACTAGCACTCACCGGGTTATCAGTTTTTGGCACAAGGGAAATTAAAGTGTCATTCATACCTTTCTTAAAGATTCCATTCTCAAAGAAACTAGAAGCCTGTTTGAATACAGAATCTCCAACCACATCCCAAGCCTTCTGATAGAAGCATGCATGGTATCCATCGGGTCCTGGAGCTTTTAAAGGACTCATTTCAAAAAGCGCAGTTTTAACTTCATTCTTAGTGACTTCCGCATTAAGGGCACTTCGTGTGTTTGCCGATATGGTAGGAAAAGGGATCCCATCTAGCTGAGAGCAGTCAGTAGCATCTTCTCTCTTGAAGAGATTAGTATAATAATCTCTGACTATTGCCTCCTCCTCGGCTGTATTCTGGATAGGATTGCCAGCGTCATTGTGAAGGGTATAGCGTTTCTTTTTCGCTCTTTTCACCATTGTAGCGGTGTGGTAAAATTTAGTATTTCTATCACCTGATGCAATCCAATCCTCTCTAGCCTGTTGATACCAATAAATCTCTTCTTGGAGCAAGACCTCTTCAAACTCAATTTTGAGCTTTCTTTCTAATTTAATGAGGCATTGGTGATGAAATACGTCTAGTTGTCTTTGGATGCCTTCAATGCGCTTTTCCAATCTTCTCTTTCGAGCCTGGATGTTCCCAAAAACTTTGTTGTTCCACTCTTTAAATTTTGAAGCCATCTCATCCTTGTTCGACCACACATCATTATTTGCATTCGGGCTTTTCCTCATCCTTGTGGTATTGAAGATGCGCTCATCATCAAGCTCAGATTGGCTGTTCTTCACGGTACCCATTAAGCTATTCTGATCGATCTGCCCATATATATATATATATATATATATATATATATATTGCGATGTTTGTAGGTAGCTAAGAACAAGAGAAATTTTGTTTGAATTGGTGTTTTAACATGGTGCGCATGCGGAGTTTATATAGAGCAATACTGATGAAGGATCAAAATAGTATTACTGATGCGGAGTTGCCCTTTCGGCTTATCATAAATACTATTTTGATCCTTCATCAAATACTCGTGAAGAACGTACGTTACGTTGATTTAAATTAACGTAACATGCATACTAACATCATCTTTTAATAATTTCTGCATCTATGACTTACCACATTGGAAAAAAAGGATACAAGAACGTGGTTGCTATACAAAATAGCTTACGTATGTAGGAGTTCAGGAAGCAAGACCCGAAAAACAAAAAAAAAAAAAAAAGGGAGTAATATGATATAGGCAATACTTGGGGATTGTTTACTAAAATGAAAAACTGAAGGATTTTCTGGAAAAATAAAGAATTAGAGAAATGAAAGAATAGAAAATGATAAACTTTTTTATTAAAATTATCTTTACAATTGCCTAACTTCTCTTTATTCTCCAACTTTATATATATTTTTGGAGAAGTCTAATTCAAACCTCTCCAATGGAGAATTGGAGAATGCATAGGTGCACATTAATAAGTGTTAGGAGGTCAACCGTTCGATTTTTGCTATACGCGTTCGTTATTTTTGCTTTGCTTTTCCCCTCCTCCTTGCGCACAGATTAGCGTTATTTTTGCTTTGCCTTTCGACAGCTTTTCCCCTTTTCCCTAGCGCACAGATTTATTTATTTATTTATTTCTTCATCTTATTATTATTCTTCCAAAAGGATGAACCCCAATCCTAAGGGCCCGCTGCACCCCGACCTGAAAGAGTATTTGGGAGGATTCTTCTTATTATTATTACTAGTATGATTCCCGTGTGAAGCACGGATCAAAATTTTAGAATTAATGAATTTGTGTGGATATTATAATTTATGTAGGATTTCAAATATGAGAATATTAACTCACCCTTACTTACAACATTGGATAATTGATTTTTCTTACTATTTGTAAATATATATTGGATCTTTGAGTTTCACTACTGAAAATCTGTCGATTTTCGATCACCTAGAAAGTGGTCGAAAATGGACTTAATTTGATCGAAAACACTTGTTCCGACCTCTTTTCCTACCAATTTAGGTATCCGAAAAAATCCTCCTCGCTATTTCCTACCACCGGAGACGTGGTCGGAAATAGCGACCACTTTTCTAAGGTCGTAGAGACTGAGAACATCGAACATTTCTGACCACTTTGGTGGTCGGAAATGTGCCTGGTAAAAAAAAATCATTTCACTATAGAGAGAACCCCTATATAGTGAAATGAATATATATATATATATATATATATATATATATATATATATATATATATATATATATCTCATATATGTGCCCACCAAATCCAAATGAATTAGATAAGGTCACCTTAATGCCCAGATGCTCCTTTTTAGATCCCACAAGGACCTTTGTGTCCTATTTTGATGCACAAAATAGGTGTTACAGACATAGTTTATGGCTTCTAATAACTTATTGTATTTATGCATATTTAGCATGTTAGGCCAAGGTGTGGGGGCTCTGTGGTCGAGGGAAATGTGATTTAACATAAAGGTGCCATTTCAGTGAAACAGATGTCAAATATTCAGTTCCAGAACGTAATTCATCTGATCATTCATATATTATGCACCAATACTGAAACCAGGTCTGAAGAGAAAGAAGACGGAAAGCCTTACCACCCCTTCATTTGGATTTTAGAGATTGATGTTTGGATGAACCCACCCGGTCCGAATTGCCTACAAAGCACATCAAGCCATCACGGTGAATCAGTCAGTTCTCTTTCGATTGATTAAGTAAGAAACCGTATCATAATGCAGTCAATCGTTCTTAGACCATGTAATGTAACAGATATTGTGTATAATATAGACTAGTGGTTTTGGAGGAATTATTATGGGAGCAAGTAAATAGAAACCTGAACAGTTGCTACAGCCTCTACAGCACCAGCTGCGCCCAGAAGGTGGCCGATCATAGATTTTGTAAAGTTTATCTGTAACTACGTCACTACAAAAAATGCCTATATACTAACGGATTTAGTGACGAAAAATTTCCGTTGCTAATGTAGCGACGGAATAGCGACATTTTAGCGAAGGATTTTAATTTTTTGAGTAAATGGATATTTAGCGACGGATTAGCGACGGATTTGCGATGGATATTGCGACGGAATATTTCCGTCCTTAAATAGTAGCTAATCTTAGCGGCAAAATTTGGCGCAAAATGTAGCTACGAATTATTCGCGAGCTAACTCCAAAAATTGTAAAAATTATAATTGTTACAATTTAGCGACAGATTATTGAATCCGTCGCAATATAATGACGGATTAAAGAATCCGTCGCTATATAACGACGGATTAGAGAATCCGTCGTTAAACTTTACATGGATAAATTTTATGTTCATAATGTAGCGATAGATTTAATAATCTGTCCTATCCTTTACACGGTCAATAGCTATTTTATAATTTAGCGGCAGATCAAAATCCGTCGCTAGTTTTAACTTTTAAATTCCTAACCCTGTGCATACCTTGGATAATCTTTTGTGGGTTTAGGTCTGAAAAAAACACGTGAATCTTGAATGCAAGATATAGCTTAAGACTTTAATTTTATTTCAATTATAAAGCTGGACTAGATGCAATCCTACACAAGATATAATAAAGAACATAAAATAGATAGCAGTAAAAGAAAGCATGCACCAGGAAATGTTTACGCAATTCGGAGCCTCACTCCTACGTCTGTGGGGCCACTCAACCCAAATCCACTATGATAAAAAGGAGTTCAAGAGGAGAGTTAATTACACACTAAAGTATAACATATAACTACTCCAGAGCCTACTCCAGTGGATCCGATGTGCAGGCAATCTTCATTGCTTCATTAACTGGTTAAGGACCTTTCTTCACACTCAGCAATATAGAATATATTTGGAATAAATAACCAAGGAATTTCAGAGTAAAATCATGTGAAAGAGTGTGTGAAAAATGCTAACCAAAGTAGCATTTTATATAGGTAGTAAAGGATCCTTCGATCCACAAAACAAGCACTCTTTCCTCCTAGATTTCAGTTGCTCCAATTCATGTATATCTCCACCAAGATAGGGTTTTGACTAAATAAAAGTTTTGACGAAGTTTCATGCCTCCTGGATTACTTTCTTGCGCTGATCCTGTCGACTATTCCAGACAGTATGACTAATCCAACAACTAGTCTAGAACTACTTTGACAACTAATCTAGGCCAATAATAAGAGGTTTAAATGTGCAACATTTTTACACTTACAATCTCCCTCTTGGCTATTAGTTGACAAAACTACCAAATGATTCTCATCGGCTTATTAAAAACATAATCAAACGCCAGATGAGTAAAAGGATACAAATTTGACAAAGCGGATTAGTCACTAGTCAGGAGTAGTTAGATACATAACCTTCTTAGAGTTAACCAATGATGTGCCAGAGAATTCAAACATATTTAGAACATACAAGCACATAGAGAAAAAAACACATATATTTCACATAGGGTAATAGCTTAGCATTTATCATAGAGTCAAGATAAAACATAGCACGTTATCACATTGATCAAGTAGACCACACAAAAACTTATCAGATAACTACACATTACTAGAGACAGATAGCAGACAGCACACCACATTTATTCACTGGCACTCATGGTAAGTTCACAAAAACAACACTCCCCCTTACTACGAGCACTCCCTCTTTTTGGCAAGCTATGGACAAAGACCAGCATCAGGACTTGGAGGAGGAGGAGGATGATGTCTCAAAGACTTCTTCATCACCAGCAGGAGCAGTAGGCGAGACATTCTCAAGGTAGGAAATGTGACGATTGGTGTGAAGTAGCTGAGCTTCGTCAATAGAGATGGAAGATTGGAGAGAAAGAGAGGCATCCTTCATGGTAGCAATATGAGATTTGAGAAAGGTGACCTGCTGCCGAAGAAAAGTTAGAGTCGAAGCAGTTGATGGTGATCCGACGCCTGTAGTTGGTGTAGCAGCTGGAGCAGGAACAGGCGGAATTGAGAGAGTGGCCCGATCATCATAATGCGATTTCTGAAAGAGGCGAGAGTCCATAGAGATCTTGTGAGTGATGTGACAAAGCTCTTCGTTGGAATAGAGTTGTAGACCTTGTTGTTGTAGAATCCCCGTGATCAGACATGGGAACGGGAGATGAATTTTGGCTTCCTTCTTCTTAGCAAAGCTCATAATATGATGATAAATAAGATGACCGAGATCAATGGGCAATTGATGTCTGACTTTGTATAACAGAGAAGCCATCTTCTTAGTGACTATGTGCACAGAGACATTCAAAATCCAGTTGCTTGATACTAAACGAAACAGAACAGAGTAGACGGCAGTAAGAACATTCGAAGGAAGACCATCTTTCGGCCAGACTGTGACTTCATTGTGAGTAAGGTGTGATGCAAGAAAATCTCCTGCAGGCTCAAACAAATCATCACAAGCATCACGCTGAAAGTAGGCATTTATAATAGCGGGACTGAAGTCATACCAAACATCCCTCAAGAATACCTGATGATAGTGCAGAGAGGCTGGCAGGAGAGAATCAGATTGTAGATTTGCATAAAATTCTGGGATTAGCCAAGCAGAGTAAGCACCCACATTTTGTATAGTCTGAAGAAGATTCTGGGCACGAAGTGTGGATACGATACTCAATGCTAAAGTTCTTCTCAACAAGGATGTCACAACTGGAATGTTGTTGCCATATTGCTTCCAGAGCAGGAGAGAGTAAGATTGGTCGGAAAAGTGTCTCCTTGGATACCTTAGAGGCCCTAGTCTTAGACGGAGCAGCTGGCTTTGAAGCAGGAGCAGAAGCTGGAGGAGGAGCTGGAGTAGACATGCCAATTCTAGACCTAGTACGCAGAGCAAGGCCAGTCAGACGATGTTCAGATCGTTTACTTGGGCGAGTTTCAGACATAAATTCAATATCTTCGGACAGATTTAACTTTCTCTTAGCCGCTGGAGCTGGGACAGGAGCAACTGGAGGTTCATCTGGATAAGTGATTTTGGCCTTCCCTTTGGCTTTAGATGATGCAAATGGGACAGTGATCACAGGGACAGCCTTTTGTGCACGGGCAGTGTTGGGCATATTAGTAATAATATCGGACATAATGGCTGCTTGAACAGAGGGATCCTCAGGTTCAGATACTATGTCATGAATAGAAACCCCAACATCCTCTGGAGCAGATTCTGGAGCAGAGACTGGATCAGTAACTGGAGCAGAGGCCGGATCGGACAAATGCGCAGGCACTGGGGAATGACCTCATCTGAGCGGTGTGGTAGAGAACATGTGTATGAAATTATAGACAAATGCACAAGAGATAGACCAGCAGAGGGATCCTAAGACAACAAATGCATAACAACAACACATAGCAACCAAACACAACCAAAGCGATAAAAGCGAATTAGAACAAAAAAGAGAGGGGCCTAAAAAAAAACAACAAGTGATTGCTTCCTAAGAGAATGAAGAGAGCAAACCGTAGATTGAGCCTGTAGCTGTCGAGATCGAAGCTCTGCTTGAAGATCCCCTTCGTCGAACACCTCATCAAGAAGCCGGGGTTCACCCGTGATGCCCGTAGCTCTGGCAAAGATCTCCTTTGAATCTTGCACGGACAAATCTTCCATTAGAGCTGGGTGTCGAAGCAGAGTCGCAAGGACACGGGGAGTGGAGAGATCGGAAATCGGAGCTGTGCCTCGAATAATTTGACGATAAAGGTCCAAATGCTCATCCTCAGTCAGGTAAAAACAGAAAGGATTTAGATCAGAATGGCCAGCCATGTGAGAGATAGGAGATAACGAGTAGATTTGGTGAAAGATTTTGTCAAGGATTCGAGTTTGAGAAGAATTAAAGGAAGGTGAGAGAGATATTAGGGATTAGATTCTAAAATTTGGGGAAGGAGACTGTGGTGTATAACAGCCAGGGGAGAGAAAAACAATTAATAAAAAATGGCAAGACTTATAGTGCGGTCCAATGACTCAGTATACGGCCTGGAGTACTGACTGGAGTTGAGAGCGGATCTGGAGGATTTTCTGGATTAAACCTGAAAAGAAACAAACAGAAAAATAAACATAAAACAAAGAAATAAAAAAACTTTATTGTTCCAAAGAAAAAAAATTAGATGGAAAACCTGCACACTCCAAAAGCAGCCCGGAGTAACTCAAATCTTGTGTTATCAAGAGGTTTTGTAAATAGGTCAGCTAGATTTTTCTCTGTTGAAATGTACTCCAGGTTGATCTCCTTGTCTTCTACCAATTCTCTTATGAAGTGGTGCCGTATTTCAATATGTTTAGTATAGGAATGCTGAACTGGGTTCTTGGAGATATTGATAGCACTGGTATTGTCGCAATAGAGGGTAATGCACTCTTGATGTAGACCATAGTCTAGAAGCATTTGTCTCATCCATAGGAGCTGCGTACAGCAGCTACCAGCTGCTATATATTCAGCTTCAGCTGTGCTGAGAGATATCAAATTTTGTTTCTTACTTAGCCAGGCAACTAAGTTTTTTCCAAAGAAGAAACAACCACCAGAGGTATTTTTGCGATCATCTGCATTGTCAACCCAGTCGGCATCACTGTATCCTACAAGATTCAAGTTAGTATCATTTGAAAACCAAATGCCATAATTGAGAGTACCTTTGACGTATTTAATTATTCTTTTCACGGCTTTGAGATGTGATTCTTTAGGGGCAGCTTGAAATTTGGCACATATTCCAACACTTAACATAATTTCTAGATGACTTGCTGTTAGGTATAGTAGACTTCCGATCATGCTCCTGTATAGAGTAGGATCAATAGGTTTTCCTGATTCATCTTTGCTTAATTTTGTAGTTGTAGATATTGGCGTTCGTGTTTTTTTAGCTGACTCGAGTCCAAACTTCGTTAGAAGTCCTTTTGCATATTTTTCTTGAGATATAAAAATACCTTTATTGGTTTGTTGAACCTGTAGTCCTAGAAAATAGGTCAATTCACCGATCATACTCATTTCGAACTCATGTTGCATGACTTGAACCAGTTGATCTGTAGCACCTGTTTGAGTGGAACCAAAGATAATATCGTCAACATAAACCTGAGCAATTGTAATATGTTTACATGACCTTTTGATAAATAAGGTTTTGTCGACTCCCCCTCGGTTGTAGCCTTGCTGGAGAAGATACTGGGACAGTCTTTCATACCAGGCCCTTGGAGCTTGTTTTAGACCGTAGAGAGTCTTGTCCAGTTTGTAGACATAGTCAGGATGATGAGGGTCTTCAAAGCCTTTAGGTTGAGCGACATATATATCTTCGTATAGATATCCATTTAGAAAAGCCGTTTTGACATCCACCTGAAACAGCTTTATCCCTAGAGCACAAGCTATACATAGAAAGAGGCGAATAGATTCTAGACGTGCTACAGGAGCAAACGTCTCTTCATAGTCAATACCTTCAATTTGAGAGTAGCCTTGTGCTACCAGTCGTGCTTTGTTGCGAGCAATGTTTCCAGCTGAATCAGTCTTGTTACGAAAGATCCACTTTGTCCCTACAACATTTACACCGTCAGGTTTAGAAACTAGATTCCATACCTTGTTTCGTTTGAATTGTCCGAGTTCTTCCTGCATGGCTTTAATCCAGTGTTCATCAGATAGGGCTTCTTTTACCGTTTTGGGTTCAGTCTTTGATGTGTAACATGTATACCCTGCAAGCTCAAGATAATTTCGCTTAATCCCTCTATTTCGTACTCCGGAGGATGGATCCCCTATGATGTTTTGTGTAGGATGATCTTTGTGGGTTCGGATGGCCAGTTCGAGTGCTCCAACATCTGGTTCTGGACTAGAAGATGGTGGAGTCGGAGTAGGATCTGATGTTGCAATTTCAGGAGGTTCTGGATTATTTGTGTCAGATTCTAGAATAACTTCGGAGTCAGAGACTCCCATTACCTCAGTAATTTCATCAGGTTGATCATCAACAACCACATTTGCCGATTCCATGATGGATTTTGTGACTTTGTTGTAGACACGGTAGCACGACTATTCGTTGAGTAACCAAGAAAGTACCCTTCATCACTTTTAGGTTCAAATTTTCCAGTTGGGCTTCGGTCCTTCAAAATAAAACACCGTGAGCCAAAAATATGGAAGTAGTTGATATTAGGCTTCTTACCTTTCCATATTTCATACGGAGTGTGATGCGTTCCAGGTCGCAGATATACTCGGTTTATCGTGTGACATGCAGTACTTACTGCTTCAACCCAAAATCTCTGAGGCAAGTCTTTGGCATTGAGCAGTACCCGAGCCATCTCTTGAATCGTTCGATTCTTCCTTTCAACAACGCCATTTTGTTGTAGCGTTTTAGGGGCTGAATATTCATGAGAGATACCAACCGATGCACACCAATCATCAAACACTTGGTTGTCGAATTCACGTCCATGATCACTTCTAATGCGTATGATTGGCTCATCTTTCTCTTTTTGGAGTTTTAGGGCTAGGGCTTTGAAGACTTCAAAAGTTTCTGACTTTTCCCTGAGAAAACTGACCCACGAAAATCGAGAAAAATCGTCAACACAAACTAAAATGTACATTTTACCTCCAATGCTTTCTTTTCTAGTAGGTCCGATAAGGTCCATGTGAATGAGTTCCAAGTAGTGTGTGGTATTGATCATATTTTGAGGGGTATGAGCGGCTCTAGTTTGTTTTCCAGCTTGACAGGCACTGCATACTCCGGTTGTTTCTACCTTGATGTTAGGTAGACCTCGTACACCCTCAATCTTGATTAGTTTTTCCAGTGAGCGATAATTTAAGTGACCCATTTTTTGATGCCATAGTTTTGATTCTTTTATGTTGGACCTTCCATGACGTAGTTCTTTTGATAGTCTGTAACATTGCAACTGTCCTTGGTGAAGAAGACTTTCCATTCCTGGTCACATAATTGGCTTATGCTTATAAGATTTGCATGAAGGCCGTCCACCAGAAGAACTTGTATTAGTTTGGGTAGCCCTGTGACATTTAGAGTGCCAATTCCAGTGATCTTTCCCTTAACTCTGTCGTCGAAAGTCACTTCTCCTGTACTTCCTTTTATATTGTTTAGGAACTTAGCATCTCCCGTCATATGACGTGAACACCCACTATCAAAGTACCATCTCTATTTTTTGTTAGTACTTGTAGAGTGAAAGGAGACATGGTAGATAAAATCACTTTTCTTCACCCAAATTTGCTTAACAAACGGGGTGATAGACTTTTTGGTGTATTTCTCAACACGTTGGTCTTTGTAGAAGTAGAAGCACTCCGGTTTGGTATGTCCACGTACCCTGCAATAATGACATATAGGATTATAAAATCTAATCTTGGTTGTCTTTTTACTTGGAGTAAATTTGACTTGACGTTGAGCTGTACTAGTTTCTGGACTATCTTGATCTGCTCCAGTGACAGAGTCAGGGCCTGAGGCTTTGACAAAAACTGTAACAGCTTTGTCCTTTCCTCCAGAATATCCTAACCCATTCTTCGTGGGTGTCTTTCGACCAGAATCCAAAATTTGGTCCAAAGTGGATGTGTTGTCCATCATTTTGATCTTGCGTTTGAGTTGTTCCAGTTCATTTTTGAGTTCTTCCAGCTCATGTTTGAGAGTTTCTTCTTGCATGTGACTGTCTTCAATGATCTTGTCCTCTTCAATGTCATATTCTTCACCAGTTATTAAGTCAGGTACTGTAGTTGTGAGGGTCGTGAAGGCAACAAAGTTCCCGGAGATCTCATCTGGATCAGATCCTGGATCAGTTTTTGGTTCATCATCATCACTCCAGGTAAGGGCGACTTTCATCGACTTCTTCCGTCTTAGGTAGTTGGACATTCAACTTGCACATGATCATACCCTTCACATTCATAACATTTGATCCATTTGCCTCCGGTTTTTTCTTTGAATTGAGGGTTTCTTGATGTGCCTGATCATTGGTTGGACGGGTTTGGTTTTTGATTGTTTCGAATAGTACTCGACCCTGATCCTTTTTTACTTTGAAACTTGCCAGATTTTCCAGTTTGTCGTTGTTTTACCTGTTGCAATAATTTAGAAAAACCTTTAGTTAAGAAAATTATTGGATCGTCACTTACCTCATCTGGATCAGAAACAGCTCCAGCATCTTCGACAGTAAAGCTACAGTTTTTCCTTTTGTTTCAGGGCCGCCTAAAATTTCCATCTCATAGGTTTGTAGGCTCCCCATCAATTGTTGTACAGTTTTCTTTTCCCATCCATCATGCTCCTGAATAGCTGTAACTTTCATGCGAAATCTTGGAGGGAGTGAGCGAAGAATCTTTTTGACAAGTCTTTCTTGAGTGATTGGCTCGCCTAAGATGCTTGCCCTATTGGCTAGTTCTTGTACCCGAGCATGAAAATCCACTATAGTTTCATCATCTTTCATCTTTATATCTTCAAAGTCTGATTGAACCATTTGTAACTTGAATTATTTAACCGATGCGATTCCTTCATAGGTGGTTTCCAAGGCATCCGAATCACACACTGCAACAATAGTAAACTGGCTCTCATGCATTAAAGAAAAAATAGTATCTAAAGCTTTATGATTGTAGCTGGCTATAGTTATCTTAGTCTCTGTCCATTCTTCCTCTGGTTTGAAGACTAGAGGATCTCCTGTATTGTCTCCATCTTTGGTAGGATGAGACCAACCAGTAAGAACAGCCCTCCAGACCCTCTCTCCTTGAGCTCGTAGATGCATTTTGGTGCGGGCCTTCCAGTACGCATAGTTGTCACCTGTTAGTTCAGGAGGTGCTCTATGTTGTTCCATGCTGTAAGACTCAATGCACAGTGAGCAACAAATAAACCAGACAAACAGAAAAAAGAGTAGATACTAAGATCTTGAGTTCAAAAAACACGTGATAGCCAGATCGGTTAGACTAATATCTTAAGTCCCCGAGCTCTGATACCAATTGAAAAAAACATGTGAATCTTGAATGCAAGATATAGCTTAAGACTTTAATTTTATTTCAATTATAAAGCTGGACTAGATGTAATCCTACTCCAAATATAATAAAGAACATAAAATAGATAGCAGTAAAAGAAAGCATGCATATCCAGGAAATGTTCACGCAGTTCAGAGCCTCACTCCTACGTCTGCGGGGCTACTCACATCAACCCAAATTCACTATGATAAAAAGGAGTACAAGAGGAGAGTTAATTACACACTAAAGTATAACCTATAACTACTCCAGTGGATCCGATGTGCAGGCGATCTTCATTGCTTCATGAACTGGTTAAGGACCTTTCTTCACTCTCAGCAATACAGAATATATTTGGAATAAATAACCAAGGAATTTCAGAGTAAAATCATGTGAAAGAGTGTGTGAAAAATGCTAACCAAAGTAGCATTTTATATAGGTAGTAAAGGATCCTTCGATCCACAAAACAAGCACTCTTTTTCCTCCTTGATTTCAGTTGCTCCAATTGATGTAGATCTCCACCAAGATAGGGTCTTGACTAAATAAAAGTTTTGAAGAAGTTTCATGCCTCCTGGATTACTTTCTTGCGCTGATCCAGTCGACTACTCCAGACAGTATGACTAATCCAGCAACTAGTCCAGAACTACTTTGGCAACTAATCTAGGCCAATAATAAGAGGTTTAAATGTGCAACATTTTTACACTTACAAGGTCTGTCTACATCCCTGCCGCCGTTCTCAGCCGCAAGTAGTTGCGCCTCGTCAATCGGCTTCTTTTGCTTCTCCGGGACGGGGATTCGCTCGAAAGCCATGTCTAGATCTCGAGTTTATGCAGACATCAATGTGGTTTTCCCTAGGGAGTATTGGGATTACGAATTGCTCACTATTCAGTGGGGGTAAGTTCCATCGCTTAAGCCATAATTTCCTTTCCGTGTTATTGTTTGGAATATAGTTTGACGATTTCTGATCTGAATTAAGTGAGATAAAGCAGTAACAAGGGACTTTTCTATCTGGTTATGAGTTTTAGGGGTTGTATTTGCTAATAAAATCACTAGAAGAAGACACTTTAGTTTCACATGCTTCAAATTTATAGTCTCCCATGTGTATTTATATGTTTTTAAGTAATGCAAAAAATTGGCATTATATTGCTTTGAATTTTTAACCTTGTTTATGTTCATTTAATTTTTGACCTGTTAAAATTTCTCTCAAAGACTGGTTAGCCTGCACGTATTTACAACCCCTCGCTTTCTTCCTTTTTGTAATCATCTGTATGTTATTTTAGGGGAGAGATGTGTTGTAGGGGTTTTAAGGTGTTGCAGTGTATAAAGCTTTTTTATCATGTGTTGTGGGCTTAATAATGATCTGTATATGATTATGGATGAAAGGTATTCTAAAATACTAATTTATTTGCCTTTGAATGTGTTAATTAGGATGTTTGTTAGCTCCTTCTCCTTGATTTAGAATTAATTTGAGCAAGAGCAGAAAGCAATGTGAGCAAAAAAGTTCAAAACTCTAATATATGCTCATTAGAGTCTTGAACTTCATAGCTTAAAGACAATGTAGACCAGTTCTCGTGCCTTCCAGAAGCGAAAAATTAACCTCTGTTATCCTATATAAACTTGATTTTCAACACTGTTTGTATTTTAATCTTGATTGGAGCAATTACGCTTGATAGTACTCCCTTTTTACCCTTAAAGTTTCTATACGTATGATTGTATTAGACATATGTTGATCAAACCTCCAAATTCTCCATTGGACATACGTTGATCAAACCCCCAAAGACAACAATAATAAAACTCCCTCTTAACAATTTGCACAGAGTATTCTCCTAAATGTGACATTTCTCACCCTTTCACTGCTGGAAATTTTCCATTTTCTGACCACATTTCCGACCACCTAGAATATTGGTCGGAAAAAGTGATTTTTTTTCACTTTTCCGTTGAAGGATTATGGTGGACGGAAATAGGTCAAAATTTTCGACCACCATAACTTAGTGGTCGGAATAACCGACCACAAAGTAAAGATGATCGAAAATTTCTTTCGGCCGTTTAAATTTTAAAAAATTATCTATTTATTATTTCCGACCACATTCAAAAGTTGTCGAAAATGTATTATTATTATAACTTTTTTTTCCTAGCATCTTTTTTAAAAGGAGCGGGTCATTTATTTAAAATATTAGAAACCTTTAAAATATGAAAACGACCCATCATTTTTTCTTTATTTCAAGAGTTAGATTTTTAGATTTCTCTATACGTTCTGGGAACCAACACCTATCCACCGCTGAAGCCCTAGATCGTCTACGATGTTGAAGTCCTCGATCGCCTTCTCCTCAATCGACTACGCAGCTGCGAACCTTCTCCTCCTTAGCTCTTCTCCTCGATCAACGACGTAGCTGTGATATAAACGTTTTCCTCGCTCATTTGCGCCGTCTCAAACACTCGTTGGCATATTGTTCTGCTGAGAAAATTTGTATGAGGATGAGGAATACAATGAAAGACAACACACTGCATTGATCGTTTCTAAGGTAACCGCTATTATGCCTTCATTAGTTTCTCATCTATTGTTAAAGTTCAAGGACTTAAGGTTCTTTATTTCTAATGTATTGTTATTTACTTATTTTTACTATAGTCAGGGAGGAGGTATGAAAGAGCGAAGTTCGGGAACTGATTCGAGCTTGGCCTTCACTTCAAATTGGGGAAAGTGGCTTCTGTTAGATCTATCAGGCATTCAGGCAGGTAGGATATCTACGATTGAGAATCCAGAAAACAGTATACAGTATGTATGACTTTCAACTTGTATTGATAGATACATATTTTTTGTATTTACTTTTCTGGAGTGAATTTTACTTTAACAGTTAAGATGTGTTTGTAGTTTATACTTAAGGAATGATTTGCACTTGATTTGGCTCCTCTCCATATAATAGAAATGCAAATGTTAATTTTTTTTTTACTAGTCTTACTAGCCTTGTCATTTGCATATCAAAGTTGTGGTCTGTAAATGTGCTATTATACTCTTTGTTGCTGTTGATTCTGTCAAAAAATGTTTTTGAGGATTTTTTATTTTATTTTTGGGAAGGATGCCTGGTTATGTATGTAGACCTAGTCTGCTATGTTGTTCTTTTTCTGTGAACAGAGGTTGACTTCTATTTCTATCTTCACGAAATCTTAGTTGCCTATTTCTTGCTCCAGTGCAAGGTATTTATGTGAATAATTTCTTTCATATGAATCAACCGGCAAGAGAAGTTTGTAAGGTCAGTTTTAGTAATTCATCAATGCTTTGTTGTTATTGGGGTGAGTTCTATTGGATGGTCCTTGGTCTCTACCAAGACTAGAGAGAAAGAAAATATGAGAGTTTGCTTGAAATGAAATACCTTTTCTGCTTCTCATTTTTAGTAAACAAGCAAGGATAGTTAAATGTTTTCCATGTTGGTATCATTATTATTATAGAACTTTTTCTCTTGTTGGTATCATTTCAGGGCACTTGTGTGATTCCACACAATGAAACTGATGATTTGAATTCAGTTGGAGCTGTGAGGTCTGTGTTTGGACCGTTCGTTGAGCTCGTTAAATCATGGAACCTTCCTGATTGGATTGTGCACTGGGGCCATCCGGCAACATGGTACACACTGGTTCTATTGTATTAACTTTTGAAACCATCAGGATTTTGTGCAGTAAGCTTTTGTGATTAAAGCATGTCTATTAATCCTTTTCCTAAATCTCCCTTTCTGTTCTGTAGACTTTTGCTTTAACTATATCATCTCATAGTTGTTTCTTTCCACATATTACAGTCAATGCAAGAAGGAGATCCGGCATGGATTGGCTATATCTATGCATTTGCAATTTTTCATTCAAAGAGAAGGTGCAAAGATGATTGTTTCCCTTTTTAATATGTTATGCTTTTAGTTGTGGTGGAGTAGATAAGTTTATTGGAGAAGGCAGAGGTCTTGAGTTTGAATTTCATTCACTGCCTGTTATAAAATATTTCCACACGCTTTGCCACCTAAAAGAATGTGGCCAGCTCATGAGGGCCTGTTAAGAATAAAAAATAAACTATTAAATGTCTCCCCTCTCTAATAGCTTAAGCTTTTAGTTGAAGCGGCAAACAAATATTTCATCATTTCCAAAATATATTTCTTTCATTTATCTAGTTTACTTTTACTTGTTTATACTATTCCTATAATTTCATTATATTACACTCAACATGTTAGTTTATTGCTTCCCTTGTTTCCTCCCTTCACCCCTTGCTCTCTCTATCTCTTTCTATAATAATTAATGAGGTGTTGTGTAATGACTATTTTGGTCTGAATATCATTTAGGTATTTGGTGTGTTGTGTGAAGCTCAGTACTTTTAAATGTCATGCGTGTTGGATTTCACCTGAGATCAACTCTGGGAATTTGTGCATGTGGCGGTCTTCATGCTTTGTCTTTTCCTTGTACTCTGCACATTTTCTCATTGTGGTGCTTGTTTTTTTGCAATGAGCTGGTGCTCTGTTATGGGGTTTACCATGTAACCCAAATAATATGCTTAAATTTGCTCTCACATACAGTCACTTCTTCGTTCTCTTATTCTTATTATATTTATATATATATATATATATATATATATATATATATATATATATATATATATATATGTTTTAGTTTGAAACCATTCAGAAAAGTTACTTAGTTTTTAATTTTGAAAGGTTTGATTTTTTGGTTGAGAGTTGCCTGAATCATGTGTGCATTTAGTGTTTTCCTTGCTTTTCATTAAAAAAGAAAATCTAAATCAATTTTGAAGTTCCCACATCTTTTTTTTTTTTTTTTGGTTATTAGAATGGATGCCCTTACCTATTTTTCCAGAAATATAATTGAATCATTGAATGCAAGGTATATACTAGACATTATGCTCTCACTTTTAAATTCTTCATTATTAACCATGTTACTCTGAAATGCTATAATGATCAAACACTTAATAATGGATGTGTTTTTGACATCTTATGGTGAAATTGAATTTATAGAAGACAAAGAGGGAACTTTTACTCTTTTGATGACTAATTCTTAATGGTCATTTACAGGGTTCTTATCAACTGGAATAGGTTGCAAGCGAAGCTAGTAATCAACCAAAGTTGCCTGCCTTCTTTACTTCAAAAATTCCACACCTTCTATTCTAGAAAGGGCTCAACTGACCGGGTAATATCTAAAGGTGAGACACCATTGATGAAGCAGCGTCAGTGAGAGTGGTAATTCTTCTAGAGTAAGGGTTCTGGTTGATGAGATTGATAAGGGGAATTATGGTTGGTTTTGAATCCAGCAATTACTTTGCAGCGAATATGCTAACATTTCTATTTTTGTAAAAAGTTTCAGTTTGACATGGAATTCTTCTTCACAGGAGTTAAGGCTGGAATGTTTGTAAGAGATGCTAAGGTTCTTTGTCCTAAACTTGTCATTCTTTCTTATGACTTTGAAGCTTATGAGGAGGTATTGTGAGATTGGTTGAGTAAAAATGGAAATTCTTCAGTCATGCTTTCTCCTGTGCCTTTACAACTTTCAGTCACGTGAATAGTTTGACACACAATT